TGCCGTTTGGTCAAGTGACTGGAGATAGCAGCGATCAAAACAACACTAGACACAGTGTGGTTAGAAAAGAATTATCTCTAAAGTGAAAGGAAAAACTTTGTTGTTCAGTCTAGTCGGTTAGTTGTTGTAGTTTTCGTTTTAGTAAAATGGATTGTTGTTGTTTCGTTATATGTTAATTAATAGGAGTTTTACGGCGCTTGCAAACTTGCAAAACAAGGGACAATTAAGTCACGTAAGTGTCGAAGATTAAGAGAAGTTACAAGAAGGAAGTAACAAATACCTACAAAATGAAGGAGGAGAGATACGATAGTCGTTTGATATGAAAGAAGAGGCAAACCACACCAGAGCACCCGCCAAACACTCACTGCTGTTGTTGTTGAGTAAAGAGAAGTTCATCGACACCGTCATACATGTACTCATGTAGTAAGGGGCTGTTCAAATATATTCTTATACCTTTTTTGTGATTTTTTACACCCCCCCCCTTCTTACACTTTTCTTACATTTGCCCCCCCCCCCTCCCCCGTAATATTACATTGTTCGCTTATAATAATAATAATACAACATTTAAATCGCACAAATCCGTGGTACAATCATTGTCCCATGCGCTTTACATAATATTCATGAAGAACATCTTAAGATTGCGCATTTTAACGGTCGTATAATTCAGTTCCATCTTTATTCTTTTACTCACATCAAGGAACATTCACGTATATTTTCTAAAGAGCAAAATAATGAAAATTAAAATTAAAATTAGATATGAAACTGAAGAGCTTTATTACAAGAATGATACAATTATATAGATCTAATCGTTAAAACGCGCAGCGCAATCTTAAAATTGCCCCACAATCTTAAGATGGGCAATCAGTTTTACAATCGTTAAAACGTGCAGCGCAATCTTAAGATCGGTAAATTGTGCGGAACACATACACAGATATCGTACGTATGCACATAATAATATGCAGTCCTACATTTACTAAAAAAAACAAAACAGAGTAGGTCATTTAAGAAAAATATTGCATACTCTATTTCTTACTAATAAGGAAAAAATTGAGACCCAAGTCAATTTCAAAAGCGGCTTATTAACTAATAAAATAAATTACAGTGGAATTCAGGAACGACAAAAAGTGTTGACTTTGAGCAAGGTTGACTTTATCCATTGTACTTACTCGCCATTGAAAATTGAAGATGACAACTACAAAATTACAAGGTACCTGGTAACAAGATGTTAGCTCAATTTCAGAGAGTAAAATTCTGAAGTTGTCACCAAAACAAGAAATAATGAGTGGACAAAGTAATTGGAGGTGTGTACACCACTAGCTCAGGACCTAAATATCTATTCTTAAATGAATTCATCTTGGGATTTAGCCCCAAATCGTTGACTTTATGCAAGGTTAACTCAACCGGTTGACTGTACGTTTATCAGAAACACAATTACTACAAACAAAGAAGGTAAGAAACGGGACCCCAGTGAGCTGTTGACTGTAAGCAAGAGTTGACTTTATCAGGATTCCACTGTATCTGTTGTTGCGGGTCATTATGCTTAAAACAAAAAGTGAAATTAGTTATCAACAACAAAGGCAGTGTTCATCATTATGTCAAATATGTTTTTTAAAACAGGGGTATCTGCTGAGCTGCCTTCCTAATATGGGTCCTGTTCCCACTTCCTGCTCTGTCTCCCCTTCTTCCTCCACCTTAATTTCTTCCCGTGTAAAGCCCAGCGTCACTTCAATGCTGCAATACTTTGAAAATATTTTCCATTTTCCTTGTGGCCTCTGCACACCATGCAGCCTTTCTTGACCGTGGCCACCCTTATTTTCCTTTTTTTTTTCTCCCATCTCACAAAGTGTAAAATTACATTGGTTCAAGACCCCCCCCCCTTCTTACACTCTTCTTACAAGAGCCAAAGACCCCCCCCCCCCCCCGCCCCTTCCAGGTGTAAGATTATATTTGAACAGCCCCTAAGTGCTGGTGAAAAAAGTAAGACTACTAGACAGAAACAACAGAGGGAAAGTAAAGAAGTAAGTAAGATCTATCAGTGGCGTCCTCCAACCATCCCGCTTAGAAGAGTGTTGCGGCACTAGCAACACAAATAGGTCCATATGTCATGTATAATGTGCTGAAGATAATAGGTGTTGCTAGAAAGTAAGATATTGTACAAAAAAAGGAGGAAAGATAAGGACGACAGAGGTTTGATAGGATAGCTGTACCCGGGGTTTTATGCATCCGCATAATTTAGCAAAATTGGATCATTTTTTGCATAATTTCTGATTATATTCCGTAACAGAATCGCATAATTTCACATTAAATGTTTCGGCTGTTTGCATAGTTTCAAAATGTTTCTGTCATAAAACGACGGGGACAGGAATAGGAAAGGATGAGAAAAACCACCACAGAGCCCCCGTGTGGAGGGTAGGCAGCTACGTATGTGACAGTTTTTCTCACGTCGTAGGGCCTTTTGCCTTCATCAGGCAGCCACACTCTTTATACACTGTGCGATGTGAGTACATAGACTAGTACTAGTACATGTATGCCTGGAGAAAAGTCCCAGTTGTCGACAAAGCTATTTTTGAGCAACGGGGTGAAAAGGACAAAAAAGTCGTAGGCTACCTGGTCAAAACTTGAGTTTCATCAGAAAACACACGTAGATCTAACCATTTCTTAACATGCTGAAAGGATTTCATAAAATGTTTAATCTAAATACTTTTTGATTAGTTATTTTTGCAACATGTACGTCACCCAAGTTTAAAAAGGTGCTAGAAATTGGGTTTTTTTCTGCAAACTTCTGCAACTTTGTGGCATATATATATATATATATATATATATATATATATATATATATATATATATATATATGTGTATGTGTGTATATATATATATATATATATATATATATATGTGTGTGTGTGTGTGTGTGTGTATGTATCTATAGAATTACTGAAGGTATTTGAATAATTTAAAAATAAGCGTGTTTAGCATTGAATTGGCCACAAGAATAAGCCCTTATCTCAATATGTCAAAATTTGCGACAACTGGGACCTTTCTACAGGCACACGCTTGTTTTTAACTGAATATAATAGAATATGTTGTTTTGGAATGTAGAAAATTTCCCGAGAAGCCTACTCTTTTTTATTTTAGGACCACCAATGGATCACGAAACTTGCACACGTGACCTCCGAGATGTTTCGCCCTCATCTAAAAAGGCTATGTGTTACTGTTACTCTTACCTACCCCAATATCTTGGCTATGGCTAAAAGACAGCAGTAAGAAAGAACTGAAAATTGAATTCATGTTTGCCATATAAATATGCAACAGCAGAGGCTGACCACTATTCAAGACGCCTGACTTGTGTGTGGTGTTGCAGTCCGGTGCTTCACCATCGCACGCATGAGACCCGAGTTCGAATCCCAAGTGGGGAGAATTTTATCAGGTATCTCAGTAGTTTTACTGCTGAGATGTATCCCTCTCAGGCCAGGGTTGAAGCCCGCCTCTAAACTGATCTATATTGTGTACACCAAAGGGCGTTTTTAAGTAGAGTTTTTTCGGCGCTCGCAACTGCATAAGGTCATGTGAGCGCCAAGGGGAGGATGTCAACAGAGAAGTCCTTACAGTACAGGGAATCAGACTTACTCTGCTCACCTCTCTGGCTTCAACAGCACATAGTCTGCTTCGACTATCAAGGCACCCCGGAAATAGCGGGTCACAAGAGTGTGACAAACATACAAAAGAAGTAGAAGAAAAATGACCATAGTAAGGATGAGGAAAGAAAAAGCAACAGTTCCCTGTTGTAGTTGAGGCACAGTTATGAGCATGACATTTTTGGATCACCCAATTTACAATTCTACTGTGCATTAGATTTAGAACGAGAAATGACCCCCCTTTGAGAATGGCCTAAAGACACTACAGTCAGTGGCACCGCCCTGGGGGGTAATAAAGGGCGTAAACATTACTACATTTATTTAAAATAAAAGAAAAAAGAATAATCAAAACTATTTAACCCTATCCGTTCAACTTGTTAAACTATCGTATCCATGCGACATGGGGAACTCTTGTGCCACCACTTTCCAAACAGGAAATTTACTCGTTAATCCGATCCGTACGCTTTACATAGCATTAGCAGTCTGTCAAAATGATTCTTTGAGAAATACTGAAAGTTTCAAAGAGATCTTCGTACTAGAAGTACATGTATTCTAAAATGTGAAGAATACAACCCCGGGGGTACAAAATGACCCCAGGGCGTACGGATACGGTTAAACAAGTCGCTTCCTTAAAATTATTAAGTTCTATCTGACATTTTTTGGCTGTTTCAAGTAACTAAGACCATGAGGCCAGAAATCAAATACTCAGTCTGCTATATCAGTATCGTAAGATTATTCAGAGTCACCAAGATATTCAATTAAAAGAATTACAATAGAAAAAGTTTGACGCGAGACGCTCAAATTTTTTTAAACGTCAAAGTCAAATTTCTCACAATCAGGTAGGCCTACTGAGCTGATAGAATTATGTAATTCTGGGGTAGCGAAATAGCACAGCTCAGTTCTACTTGAGCTGGACACTAAGAGAGTTTATGGGAGATCAAAGTAGTCCTAACTTTTCATCTTTGTTTGAGTGAACAGAAGCACATTGACACAATAATGGTCATTTTCATGAAAGACGGCGCAGACCACATCAGAGCATCCGCTAAGTGCCTGCTCACTTAGTATTAAATAGATCAATACGAGTAGACAGAAAAAACCCAGAGGCCCAACCAGTGACACCCACCAACCATATGCCCCCAAAGTGCTGTGTGTCACACTGTAGAGGTCTTTGCTAATTTTTGTCCGAGTTTGCAAGTGTCGAAGATTAAAGGTGTTAATAGAGAGAAAATTATTACAAGAAAAAGAAAAGAGATAAGGACAATAGATTTTTTATAGGAAAGAAGGAGCAAACCACACCAGAGTGCCCGTCAACCACCCACACATAAGTAGTAGATTATAAAGTCACACACAAACATGAGACGGTGATGAAGAAATAAAACAATGTAAAGTTTTATTCTGTGAAGTGTGCGGCAAAACCCAAACACCAGACAACGTTTGTATCTGTGGGAAACATAGAATTGCACGCTGGTTCATCCATCGAAGAAAAAAACTTGACAAAAATAACCCGTAGCCCAACAGACGGAGAGAGATGACAGAGATGATGAAGCTGACGGACCGTGCAATAACTTTCAAAATCACTTAATGTACCAGTTGGAAACTTACAAAAACACAAATTCTGTCTTCACATTTCTCCTTACATTAAACATCTGCTGAGAGCGTAAGATGATGTGTGTGCACTGTTTCATTTTTTTTCCCATAATCGGAAATTGCACTAACTTGCTATACATACACCTACCATAGCCATTTATTTCATTACGTTTGTCAACATGTAAATCAAATAGTATCGGAGGAAACATTTCACTTGACTTCAACAAAACACAGAATGTAAATCTGTGGCGTACCGTTCATACCACAATCTCCAAAGCCCACTCAAGCTGACTAGTTCTGCAGTTTAAAAAACCATAAAATCTTCCTTCATTCTTTCTCTATCCCATGTCTTGGGATACAATTAAAGATCCACTATCTGTCATGTGCTAAAAACAATGGAACAGTGTGCAGTAGGGGTTGACTACTAAAACAGGGCTGCCAACCCATCTCCATGGTTTTTAGTAATGACCATGAAGAAAATTTGTAATTTCCCAAAAAAATTAGTAATAGTGCTCTCATTTTCAAATTACTATATTACAACGAACAAAAATACATGTAATTTTCAGACTGCTTGGGTCCCAGGAGCGTGGCAGCCATGTTTCTAAGCTTTTACTCGCATACGGTATGTATTATTGTGGGCAAGGCTAACTCGCGCCAAGTGGGCCTGCTGTTCTCTTTTTTTTTAGGGGGGGCGGGGGTTGATTTAGAGATTGGCGGCTTTCCGACCATTGGCGGACGATTAACATGTCTGAACTAAGCCTTGTAAAATTTTTTAAAAAGCTACAAATATTTTTTTATAGCCAAAAATCTGCTGGCGGTAAAAATTGTAATAAATCGCCTTACGATCAGAATTTCGTAGTGAGGCTAACAAATCGTATTGATTACGAAAAAATTGGAATGGTAGGCAGCCCTGCTAAAAGAACAAGAATTCTCATCACACAACAGACATCTTTTCCTTTCCCCCAAATTTTATACAAAAATCATCCAAAAAAAACCCAAACAAACCCTTGCACCATGACTAAGTTTCAAATAATGGCATCCTTCTAACAACCAAAAGTAAAAGGCATCACAAAATAACATCAAAATCTTACTTACTTTCTTGCAGAATCTAAAACAAACTTGATGTCAACAAATTAAAATTAAAATGTAACAACAACTCTTCCAACCTGAAAGATTCTGTCCCAACTGGTTCCATAATTGTAACAAGCATTGACAAAAGCACCAACACTTTTGGAAATGGGCGACAGCCGTCTATCATCAGATTCAATGACAGTACCCACAGACAACAGCAGTATAGAGAAGGAAGAAAGAACAAAGAACAGACAGAGCTCAAAGGTGAACAGAATTCCCCCCCCCCCCCCATCAAATCTTGCACACAACCACGCACAGACGCCTCCTCCCACTCATCTTCGGCGAGACGAGATAGAGAAAGGACATCACTCCACCAGGACAGGACTACCACATAAATACATTGCAATTACATTTCACAGGTATTTTTTAGGTCGTTTTTTTTTCTCATTCTTTCTTTTTGTGGGGGTTTGTTTTGTTTTTTGGCGCTTTTTTTTCTTATTTTTCTTCCCACCCATGCATATCTCTCACCAAACACAACACACCGGCCACCCTAGCGCACACAGACAGACCAGCTTACAGCAGTTCACTTCACATCTTCACTCACACACACACACACAAACCAACAAACAAACACGTGTACACATAGGCTCAGACATTCTCTCTCAAAGTTTCCGTTTTTCCCTTGTGTAGCAGCCAGTAGAGAGGTTCGCGCAGCCAGCCGCCCTCTGCTTGGTCCAAGTCGGGGTCAGTCTCGTCATGACATGCGGATGCTCTGGATGATCTGGAAGACGGCTGGAAAGATAAAAGGGACAAAAAAAACAAATCAGATTTTGGTTTTTAGTTAAGAGTTTTAGGGCATTTGCAGCACAAACAGATCTACAAGTGCTGAAGATTACCTTCGATTACTAGGGTGTCTTCCCTTTACACACAGGACTTCTCTGAGTTTTTCCATTATCAGTTTTGATTTTTAGTAAGAACGTTACGGCACTTGCAACAAAATTAAGTTCATATAAGTACTGAAAATTAGTAGAGGTGTTACAAGAGAGTAGCAAAAATTTGTTTAAAGAGGAGGAGAGATAGGACAATAGATGTTTAATAGGAAAGAAGGAGCGGAGAAAACCACCCATGAAGCGAGACCAACAAACACATTAGTTTAAGATGTTTAGTTTTGAGTTTTACAGTACAAGTACTTGATTTGCCTTGCTTTTGGTGAAAAAAATATCCATCTCTCTAGAATAGTAGTTGAGATATTTACCATTGAAGGGGGAGGAAGTTGCCTGGTTTCAGAGGTAAAATTAGTGAGAAAATGGCCACAAAAGTTTTGAACTTCCACAGCTTCAGAATCCTTGAAAACTGAAAACTTACATATTTTGTGCTATTAATCATCAATGTTTCTGAGTAAAATTCACATGTAAATGTGTTTTTATATGGACAAAAAAAGTGTTGAACCAAAAAACAAAAATTTGATAAAAATTGCCAAACTGGAGGAAAAATGCCCGTTTCTTCTATTTCTAAATTTTGACGAGTGCCTGATTACACAAGGATGCCTCACATATGTTAAGTGTTCAGAGCTTGCGACTTTTAATCAGGATTGAGTGTTATTCAAATGTCACAAATGATCATAATTATATATCATTACTACAAAGTACACACATACACACTAAAATACAGTATGATGAGGCAATACCCGTGCCCATAAAAGAAGAGCCACCAACTTTTTAGGATAACATCACATCAGACATTCTACTTACAGGGCAAAACAAACAAATAAATAGCCACAGCAAAGAACATTTTACAAATATGGCACCCTGATAAAACTTAGATAAATATAATTCAGATACATAAGGTCGCAGAGCAATGCTAATGCTATAAGAGAACTGCTCTTACTGACTGCATCTTATTTCATTTTGAATAGAAATCATCAGTTTAAAAGTGGCCAAGATAACTGCTACTAAAAAGTCAGTCTCTTAATTAATGTGCGTGTTTTCATTGTCTATAGTAAAGGTTATAGGCAGTTACCTATTCAAACCTGAGTGAAGTGAGGAAAATTTGAGCAAAATGCCTCTTCCAAGGACATAACGTCAGGCTTCTGATGGTGTTTGAATCTACCTTAAAACGATCCAAACCAACTAAATCTAACCACTGGACCGTTCTCTGTGCCGAAGCTTAGAGTGCAACTAGAGAGTAACATTATACAAAGAAAAGGAGGACAAGAGATAAGGACGATAGAGTAAAAGCACTATTTGCGGCCATTTCTCACTTAATTTGCTCTAACAGCCAAATGAATAGAGATAACTAAAACATTTTTGGCCTCCAAAATTGCACATCATCTGGCCACTAGACTAGATGTACAATGGTCTAGAGCAGTGGTTTTCAAAGTGGGCGCTACCGCCCCCGGCGGTGGCAACAGTTTGGGGGGGGGGGGGGGGCGCTATGGCGAAATTGGGCGATAGGGGGGCGGTAGTGGGCGTTAAGGGGGCAGTGTGAAATTTTGATGAAATGCAACATAAAAATTGGTGAAGAGAAAGAAGCCATAAAAAAGAAGAAAAAAAGATAAATTAGGCATAGTTTACAATACTACTTGTTACTAAGAACTTTCTTTCCCAGCACTCAAAGCCCATAATAAATAATTATAAACATGATTCATCCCGGCAAATCTGACAAAGATCTGGCTTACTTCAAAACTCTAAAGATAAATTTTCAGAAATAAAAATCTATTAAATCAATGTTTGCAGCCGACGTCGATCAAGCTGATGAAGACTTACGGGCAACTTATAATTTATCTCTGCTTATTGCAAAGGCAGGCAAACTCCGTACTCTCGGTGAGGACCTCATTACCTGCGATAAGAGAGGTGTTAGCACAGTCCTGCACCGTGCCCCGAGCCTGTGGTGAAAGTTTTTGCCATTAAGTGACAATGGATGGGATGTCAGCAAATGTTAAGGAATCATTGTGCAAAATGCTTAAAGGCACGAGTTCAGCCTTCAACTGGATATCGGTTTATAGAGGGTGAAAAAGTAATGCAAGAATTGTTATTGGCGAAAATGTTGGAAACAGATACCAAAGTGGAGTCCATTTTCAAAGTGGTCCAAGACTTTTTCGAGGAGAAACAGATTCCTAAGACCAATATAGTTGCCTGTGCATCAAACGGAGCACCGTCGATGACTAGTCGGTACCGTGGATTTATGAGCTTCTTGAAAAAATCAGTCCCTGGAGTAATAACTGTTCGCTGTGTCATTCACAGACAGAATTTGGTGCCAAAAAATCTGAATGAAAGTCTGCATGACACACTGGCCATTTTCATCAAGTGTGGGAACAAGATCAAAGTCCACGCTTTGAACTCGAGATTATTCCTACAGCTGTGCACTGAAAATGATGAGAACCTTCAATTCTTTCTTTTGCACACTGAAGTCCGGTGGCTCTCAAAAGGAAACTGTTTAACACTTCTGCCTGTTTGACTCTGTGCTGGAGTTTTTTTTCAAGAAACAGTGATCTCTGCAATAAACTGAAACAACACAAGAACAACATTGCGTTCATCACAGATCTTTTCACAAAGTTCAACCAGGTCAACTTGCAGCTGCAGGGGGATGACACCAACCTGATCAAGGCAAAATCCATGCTTTCGCCATTCTTGTCGATATTGGAAATGTTTCACCGAAACATTGGCAGAAGACAATTTGCTCAGTTTCCTAGCTTGGCAGAGACACTGAAATAAGGGCGGGTTTCTGACAAGGAACTAAAAATATATACCAACCACCTCAGAGATTTGCATGCTGATATGATCGCGAAGACAAGGTTTAGTGATATCTTTAAACTGGAAATTCCAGACTGGGTACTGGACACACTCAATACTGGAACAGATGGTGACCTGACAGTGGCAATTGAAGAAGAGCTGACAGTGAAAAGTGACTTTGAAATCGAACCATTGTTCAAAAAGTCGTACCGGTCATTCAGGTTGAAAACTATTGTGCAAGACAAATATCCCTCCCTGTAGGAAAATACCAAGTTGTTCATCGCTTTTCCCACCTCCCGTCTTGTTGAAAGGGGATTCAGTACAGTGACAAGGTTGCTGACGAAGCAGAGGAACAAACTCAGGATCACAGAGCGTGGCGATTAACGTCTGCCACTGACCAATCTTAAACCTGATGTTGACAAGTTGGTTTCGTCTAAACAGGTCCGTCCTTCCCCTTAGGGTAGTAGTTTACCCTTACTTGATACCTGAATACCTCTTTTCTTATTTTGCTTTTCTTTCTTCTTTTTCTAAAGCAAAATACTCACTGTGACTTATTATAGTTTGTTAAGTGCAATTGCTGCCACTGCTGATGAAACTGATGATAATGATGATGACGATGATTGCGATGACGGTGATAATTACAAAGATCAATGCATACTTTTTCTTTCGTGTGGTTTCTCACATTTGAACAGTTGGATAATATTTTTATGTTTTACAATGGAGATATTTGATATACAAATCTCAGGCAACTTTATTGCATCTCCTTGATGGGAGAAAACGTTTCATAAAAATAATGTCAATCTGTTTTCAAACTAATGATCACTGTTTTGGGGTTCTTTTTTTTTTTTAGTGTTTTGCTTCTGTAAATGTCATAATACATGTTTTACATTTATTGATGTTAACAACACTGGTCGTTTAATACCGATGACACATAACATATAAATAAAATGACGGTATTTTGTTCTCAATGCCCTTGCATGACAGAGAAGAAAAAATGTGTTTTATTATCTCTCGTACACGCTTAATTTAAGACTGACATGATGGTGATTTGTGACCCAACTGATATTCAGAACCAAATCATTAGAATTTAGGCACTTTATTTGTACCCTACTTTTTGAGCTCTCTCTTTATTTGTGATTGTTACTATGCATGTTGTTATGTCAGATTGATGGTTAGGGCGGAGTAGGGGGTGCTGGGACTCGGCTGGGTGAAAAAGGGGGCGGTGGGCGAAAAAAGTTTGAAAACCACTGGTTGTTTGTTTGTTTGTTTAGTATAGGGTTTTACGGCGCTCGCGACTGCATAGGTCATATGAGCGCGCGGGACACACCTAATACTTTTTCGTTGGTAGTAAATTTTGAATTTTGTCCGGGTGGCGGCCGAAGCCTACTCTTATCGATTTTAGACCACCAAGGGATCTTTAACGTGCGCAACTTGCACACGGGCCCTCCGAGATTTTTCGCCCTTGTCCGAGAAGGCTAGGTGTAGATCTTTCCTACCAGAAGATCAGGGGTGTGGCAGAAAGACAGCAGTTAGGAGGAGCCAAGAAGTAGCAGTAGAAAGGCTGCAGAAAGAGTCAGGAGCCCAGAGGAGGGGGCAAAGGAGGTGAGGGGGTGGGGGCAGAAAGTGGAAATGAAAGCAGACAACAGAACATTGTCAGAGATCAGGAAAGGATGTGAAAGGAGACAATTTTAGAGAAAAAAATTTTTTGGTCGCTACCCGGAATCGAACCCGGGACCTTTGAATGAGAGGCCAACACCTTAACCTCTAGGCCACGAGAAAACCACTGGTCTAGAGCATTCTTGGCTATATAACCAAGGGGGATGATCATTATAAAATACCATGTGAAGGGACCAGTTCGAAATCAGGGCACCTTTATGCGGTCAAACCGTCATCAAGGACACATTATGCGGCCAGGGTACTGTGATGCGATCACATGGGGATATGTATGCGGCCAGGACCTCCCAACATGATTTTGTAGTGTACTGTGGGGTTTTTTCAAAGAAGCCGTGCCGGCAGGGTGGCCTGCCTCACCATTGACGGACTTTGGCCAAAAGGTTCGAA